GAGTATCAATGTGAATTAAGTCTTTGCAGAGAGTGTTTCTTCCTCGGGACTTGTATTAATCAAGAGATTTTTGTTATTTGAAGAAAAAGATGATTTGTCAATAGAGGAAAGCATATTAAACAAATATAGTTGCAAAAAATAGCAGTACTGCTAAACTTTACTTTTGGTACTTCGAAAATAAAAGGAAATGAAAAAGTTTAATCATAATAAAAAGGTCCTTGTTAAGGACTTTTGGCAAAAAGTTTTAAATAAAATATGCATTTCTTCTGTTTAAAAGGAATAACAAGGAGTAATGTTTACCTTGATTTCAGCCATCAGGACTATTTTAACAATACTTCAATCTCACTTTAATTGTTAGAGAACTTACAAGATACATATCCACCAAGGTGACTTTCAACTCAAGGAAGAAGACACGAAGCCATTATTAGGGCAAAGACATGTACATCAGCACATAACAAAACAAAAAACTGATSAATGTTTACGTTGGTAGTTGCAGGACTTTGGGGACAATAACACTCCCATTCTAGGGCTAGGTGGTAATTTAGAAGGAAATTTTTTCCTTTATTTTGGCAGGGACAGAACACATTCATTCTACATCCTAGCACTGTAACATGACTTTCAATAGGCAGCATCTAAAACATTTGTGTGTTCTGTGTCTGCTTTGAGCAGCAAACATCAAGAGGATACAGGTATAAAAATTCAGCTCACATTATCAGGGAGTACAGAGAGGGCCTTTTGTTTCCTCTGCAGGAAAGGATGAAACATGGCAGTGAGAGAATTCTTTTGAACAAAAGGAATCTGTAAGTGTTGCAAGAAATGAAAGAAAAATCAGTAACTGCTGATTGTTATCCTCTTTCTAATGTACATGGCTTTAGATACCTGCTGGGTAAATATCGTATTTGTATTCTCATTTTGCTCCTGAAATACCTTGTTATATTTTACACAATGAGAAAAACTTATCACTACAAATGTTTTTCTTCTTAAGGCTGGGAGGCTGCAATCTTTTGCTCTCAAAAGATCTTCTCTGCAGAGATTTGTAACGCAGAATTCAGTGCCTAACATTCTTCCAGGATTCATCTGTTCAATTATATCTCAAATTATACGGATATCTCAGAAAATGAAGTTGTATGGATGAGATATTGGTTATCAATTGAATTGATACATTGATATATTGAATTGAAACATTAAATACTACAAATAACTGACATTTTTGTGGTTTTAAGATGTCTTCTCAAGARATACCCCTGCTTGCTCAAAGAAGTCCAACTAAGTTACCTGCCTAGTTCAACACATAAAATACTTGGGAGATATAGGTTTTGAAATGGTACTAGGCATTTGTTGAACTTAGTTAATTGTAGTGTCCATTCAACTTTGGTCACCAGAAAGGAAAAAAAAAAAAAGATTCAATTGTATTTAACAATATTTAACAATATGATTGATCATTTAAATGGTGTTTTATAAACTGTTCAGGAATTTTTCTAAAGTCAGTATAGAAACATTGAATCGCCATTGCTTTTAAGTATGTAAGAGCATCCCAAAAAGCAAGTGAGGATGGCAATGTGCACAGTACTGTTGATGACAGACAGACAGCATTAGGGCCAAAGGATATTCTTCAGGGCAGCACAATGCTTTAAGCCATTTGAAGACAACCAAAAAGATAAGGAGTTACATTTTGTTTTCCCCTAGACTTCGCTAGCATCAAATCCAGTAGAGACAGAATATAATAGGGATTCTTACTTTTAGATTCCAACATGAAATGAATATATATTGCAGATGAGGAAAGCTATTTTAAAACTGTGACAAAAATCACTCTTACATATTCTTCAAATGCACAATCTTTTTGTTATTACTCTTTCTGTCAGTAGGTACTGTAGATATGTATAGCCAGGAAAAAGCCTCTGAAGTTTTTCAGTGGATTTATCATTACTTGCTTAAAAGTTTTAGCTGTTGAAAGAAGCAATCCTTCAACACACAGAAGTTTATTATTTAATCATGAGGATGCAAGCCACTAAAAGTGACGATCTTTGTGTACATTCTTTTCAAGAGATTTTAGAACTTTTCTGAACAGTTGAACAGCCCCGGGCCCAGTACTGGCCCCTGGGGACACCACTGGCCACAGGCCTCCAACTGGACTCRGCCCCATTTATCACCACCCTCTGAGCTCTGCCATCCAGCCATCCCTCGATCCACCGCACCGTGCACTCATCCAGACCACACTCACAGAGATTCCGTATGAGGATACTATGGGAGATGGTGTCAAACACCTAGCTGAAGTCAAGGTAGACAACAACAACCTCAAGAAGAAGAACCACAAATAACTGCTGCTCTTCTTTATTAAAGAATTCTGGACTTTAGTTTGTTGGTGTACTACTCTGAATAAGCAAGATTTTTGTGGAAACTATCATGGAGAACATTTGAGAGATGTTATCAAATGTACTTGATGTGACTGAGTATTTATATGGCAGAAAAATGAAGAGCAAAATGAAGTGTCACGTTAAATAATATATGAAAATACAAAATCAAAGAACTGGGATAAGTAAGTAAGAAAGAAAACAACAAGAGACAAATGGCTGAAGTATTACTCTTAGTGAAGAAAAGGCAAATATTTAAATCAGTAAAATGCTGTGATGACTTCACAAAATGAATAGAATTTCAAATATGAACCCATGAATGGACAGCAAAACAATAAACATAAATCAAAAAAGCAAACATAGTGACAGTAGTATAAAAAAGAAAGGCAATAAATACTTATTTTCAAAGCTGAAAGAATAGTAATCCTTCCCACTCACACAAAAACAACCTGAATTACATTGTAACTAAGGAAGGAGAACTGTCAGCATAAAGCGAAAAAATAAAAGGTACCAAACAAATGTGTTTAGGTACATTACAAAATCAGGTAAGGGAAGTAGGCTCATTCACAGAACTGTAAGGATCAGAGATTTTATAAGTAGTTGTCAAAACAGGAGTTAAACAATTTATTTCCAGTAAAAAAGTATAAGGCAGATTTTAATGACCATTTTTGTAGTCTTTAAATAATCACTTTAAAAATAAGTATTCAAATAGTGAAAACCGATTTTCAAGCTGCCCTTTCAGAGGAGAAAAATATAAAAAAAAAGACATTTCAATAATCTAGTAGGGTATACTCAACATACTGCATATTAATTTACATTAGGAAAAACAGATGTTATAGATCTCTGAAAGAAAAGAAGTTTAGAAGTGAGGTATAATCTTTATTTAAAAATCAATCTTCAAAGAGAATACAGGAATAATTTAAAAGGCTAATGTGCTTCAAATACAGCAAGAAGCAACTGAAATCACAAAGTCATCAATCCAGCTCTTTCCAGGAATCCCACTGATGTTCAAACACCTGGTAAGGCTGCTGCAAAGACTTTTTCAAGGACAATACAAAGATTTTGGTTTCAAAATATCACCATGATAAATACTTCAGGTGAACATCCAATAAATTCTCTCTTTAAATTCTTTCTTTTTTCCTTTTTTTGAAACTCTAGAGTTGAGTTGGTGCATTTCTAGACTGTGCAACAAAGCCCTTCCCTTTGGGAAGATAGGAAATCTGAAAGCCTGACTTAATATGGAGCATATCTTGAAACCTAAGCAACTCTAGACTGAAAGAACAGAAATAACAAAGAGATTTCTAAGAGTCACAGTCTCCCTGATTCCAGTACTTCGTGCCACACTTGCTATGTCTCCTTCTTGCCTTCTAATTGCAGTTATATATGAGAATGCACTGTTTTCTTAGATATCTCCTCAATTAAGGTTTTAATCTGACCCTATTAGTGTCTGAAGACAAAAGACAAATTATTTAGTAGTTTTGCAGCCACAGAACTAATTTATTTCCCAGTAAAACCGTTAAAACCTTAATGTAGAGCAAAATTTGATTAACAGAAATCTCAATGTTTGCACTAAAAGAGAAAAAAACATATTCTTTTGGGACAGAGTAACTTTTCACCGGGGATTATCTACAAGGCTAATTTTTGCCTAATATGAATGATGATAATTTTGGCTTAAAAATGAATGTTTTCTAGATACACTAATAGGAGGATTACACCAAATAAATTTGTTAACTCCATGATTTGTTTGTACCACAAAGTGTGTTTAACATCATGCTAGTCAAAAAAATTCTTGTTTGAAAAGTTTACATTAATTAAAAAAAAAAATCCATCCTCCCAGTGAGCACAAAACCAAGGGCAAGGCAAAAGAAACTCAGGAGGGCTATGGTATAAAAATGCATTTTTTGACAGCCCTGCTGACCACTGCCTGCTGCTGCATAGACCAGGCAGCATATACTGCTCCACGGATGCTGAGGAAGATACTTAAATCACTCTATAGGCACATGTTAGTATAGGCCCATGCTAGTGCCTGACCTAGTGCCTGACTAGCGCAGTGTCAGGCAGGCTGTTCAGAGCGGCTGACAGACCTCAGGACACAGAAGGCTAAATTAGCCCATGCTAAGCTCGATCCTGACATTAGGCTGGTACCACTGACCACTGGAATGGTCAGTGGTACATATGGTTCTGTGATTTTATTGGCTTTGGCCATGATTACATTATCTCTTGGAAGAAAAGTATGAAAAGAAGAAATACGAAATCTAATATGAAGCTGTTAAATACTCATGAAACTCCTAATTTAAATATTTCTTAATAAAAGTGGAGTATCTCTTAAAACATTTCTTCCCTTAAATGTTCAGGTTTCGGATATTTAGCAGTGTCATATGAAATGTCTAAGTCAAAAACTGAAAAAATTATCTACCATGTAATATAAAAAACATTTTTATACTATTCTTATCATTATACAAAAGCAACAAGGGCATTCATAAATTGATTTTTCCCTTTGCTGTGCATTTTTGTGATTAAATATGAATTACCAATCATATTTATATTGTGTCAGAAAAATATGCACTTAGATTCCATTTCTCTTTATCACAAAAGTATTCCTAAATTCATAATAATAATTTATAAATAAGAAATGTTTTAAGGTAGTACCTGAAACAACACCGATTCCATCATCGCAGTCGTAGTCAGAGACTTCACTGTCACTGATTCTTTTGGACCCTGACAAAGAAAAAATCAAAAATATATCGCTGTTATTTACTTGTAAGTCAAAACTACTCTCAGGCACATAAAGAGATCGTAAGGATTTCATACTAGAAAATGAAGCATTAATACATAAATATACGGGAATTTACTGTTSAGTTATTGCAAACTCACCTACATGTCTACTGTTATGTAGTACAACATGGTGAAATACAACTCTACTTGGTGAAATACTAGCTGGCAAAATACAACCCTTTTATGAAATATTTGCATATGCTTTGCGTGCATAATTCCATACACAAATATACATTATACTATTCATCTTCCGGGTGTTCATGTATTACACACATACTACCAAAATCTGTGAACACACGAAAAATGAATTAGTGTGATCTAGCTTATTTAGCATTATTGGGAACAGGCAGCTCACACACAAAAATGTCCCAAAACAAAATCTCTCTCGGATACTTCCAAACAAGTTATTACATGCTACTATAGTACACCTGTTAAAATAGCCAGAGCTTAGTTGGCAAAAGCAGATTTCGAGTCCACAATTAGAGCTTAAATGTAGGGCGCACAGGACAAATATATGTGTTAGTCTGTGCAGGACTTCATTTTATTCATCTCTGTCCTGGGCATCTTTTCAACAGTAGGCAGGATGCATTTGATTGCTGGTGTGATAATTATTCATTTACTTGTTTTAGACTGTGAAAAATCTTGGATTTCAGCAACATGGTAGGTCTGTTCTAACTCTCTGACCATCTAAAAATAGGTAACTAGTAGCTAGGCAATTTAATCTACTTGTCCCCCCACCTTCAATCATGTGCAAGGTTTTTGTTAGTTACCATAGGGACAATCTATGTTTCTGAAAAACAGATTGAAAAAATAGAGGTAAAAGCTGTGAGTGAACCTAAAGTAGTGCAAGACAAAGCAGGAGGAAGGTTGTGCCTTGGCAGCTGGCACAGAAGGATTCCCAGTCTACATCTTGTAGGGGCTTTTTTTCTTTAAATGCTAGCTAGGATAAAAATACAAAATTACAAGCAAATGATTAAACTTAGAGAAGATCTAGATGATGAGGGCAAGAGTGAAGGAAAAGACTTCATCTTCTTAACATTTTTAGTTTTTAAAAAGAAATTAAGCCTGACTTTAAGACAACATTCAACCTGACCATTTTCTTAGTTATCATAGTCCATAGGCCTAACAAAACTCGCTCTTGCTTTCTGAACGAAGAGCATCCACTTGTGGTGCTGTTTCTGCAGCTCTGTTTAGCAGAGAGCCTTCAACTGGTACAGGGACACACACATCTAGGAGCAACTTGTTTAGGGCCACCAGCTTCCATTTCTCCTGGCTGCTAATTCAAAACCAGATCACTGGATGAGAAGGACGGTATTTGCAAAAAAGGACTGAGCAAAGGAACCCTGTTAGTCTGGCTTGGGCTTGGTTGGCATCTAAAGGGCAGAAGCTCCCAAAGCAAATGCCACAAGAGCCATCCTGGGCTCTGGGATAACCTGCTCCGGATCCGAGAGCTGTCTGCATTGCTTGGGCTTCACTCGGAAGAAGGAGCTCTGCAAAGGGGGCATGAGGACACCTGGGCTGACTGCAGCTGCTCATCACATGGACACTTGGAAGTGGCAGTATCAGCGACGAATGAATGCAATTCAGTGATCATCTATTTCATCCTTATGAATAAGTTAATTAATTACAATTAAGGTTGCTTTTATTTATATTGATATTTACAGCTCAGCACATCTGCTTGAAGTTATTTTTAGAGTATTATGTTCTGTATTCTGGAGAAAAGATTTGTATTTACAAGAACCAAAATAGCCAGCTGTTGTCACAGAGTCAAGACTTCACAGTCGCATAGGAAAAATTAAATGTTTCAGTAGCCAACAAGTATTTCCGGAAGAAAAGAGACCACGAAGCATCAACGGACAGTAAGTTTAGGGGAGAGGGTTCTTTCTCTCCCCTCGAAACCTCATTCACCCTTTCCAGAATCTCCTAATACCTCAACTTCAAATCAACTTCCAGGGTCTTTTCTCCACTCATATATGGACCCTGTTCCCCTCATCTTTTTTGCTTCCTCAGCTTCAGCTGCAGGGAAGAGCTGGAACATGGGAAAAACATATGACCTGGGAACAAGATCTGCCCTGAAGCTGGAGGCAGAGTCAAGAGAAGAGGCAGGTTTCAGGGCTTTCTCCAACTGCTCAGGCTGCTGCAAAGAGACCAGGAGGACAGTCTCCTGCAACAGTTGACATCCTTTCAGGACAAAACCTTTCCCTCTGTGTAGGCAGGAGACATGAAATTCTGATTCAAAGCAGAGCGTGTATTCTATCTCCTCAAGCAAACTCTTACAGCTTCAAAAAGACCTTGAAAAAAATCACGTTTAGGTAATATTTCATCTATTTTTAAATGTAATTTTAAAGGCTGGTTGAGTAGTTAGAAAAGGATTAAATCAAGATTAATGATTGTTTTTTTTTCTTCAGAAATCAATGCATTCAGGAAGGATAGAGGAAGGAAAGCATGTCTATTAAATATGGAATGTCAAGAAGTACTGTCTGGAGTATGTAACTTCTGCAAAGTAATCACATTAAATTTCTTTTAATTATCTTCCATTAACTTCAGAAGTAAAACAGATTAGAAGATCCACTGGCCAAATCACCCATTAGATTCTGCATTCAAAATGCAAGTATAAATGTTGACATCTTATTTTTTTCTCATAAATTTTGCAAGAATTTTGCTGCTATATATTAATTCTAGACGCTAAGTTGTCTTTTCAATGTATTGATGATGCAGATTTGAAGACAGACTTCAGGCCCTCCTTACCTATATCCTGTAAAAATACTGTTTATCATCTCAAAGAAGCACTGTAACTGTCACTGTCAAAGAAAGTCAGAGCAATTCATAGTTTATCTGGGAAATGTGACAATGTAGCCTCTCACAAACAAATTACACAAAAGGATTGATTTTAATGAAGCTATTATTTAGTATTTTATGAGTTTTTTTAAGTGTTTGGCAAGTATGTTATAAAATATTGTATATAGAACAGAAAGGAAATTAAATCTTTTCTAACATAAACTCCTAGTACAAGAGCTTGACCACAAAACACTTGGGACACTGGGTGCAACAAATAAAAGCAATGATGCCAAGGGTTTGCATGTAATTAACTTTGTCTTTGATGGGACTTTAAACATGAGGAATGGCATTAATTAAGTTTCCCTATCAGTGTAGTGGAATGCAGTTTTATTAATAAACCACTCTTTAGAATAGAATATTTAGAATATACTAAATTATACTGAATTATATTATACTATAATAGAATATTGGCATGTTTTCTGGTAATTGGATGGTAACAGATGGTAAATATTGGCTTCCACCATAATTCATGGTTATAACACTTAAAGAGCGAAGGCAAAATAGACCCCATACTGCAAGCCACAAGAACATGTTACTTCAGTGTAATTCCATTATGAAGAATGTGTAAAGAACTCTTATGCTTTCCAGTTTTATTCTTATTTTAATGCCTAGTAATAAATTGAAGAAAAAAGTGAGATATTTAATTCAATTTTATGAATGAAGTTGCTGGTATATTTTTAGTTATCATAGGTTGCAGTGTCAGAAGTCATGGAAAGCTTTAACTTCTGAGTAAAAATAATATGAAAATCATTGAAGACAATATCACAGAATTGTCTTTACTTTCACAAAAACACTTTTCTTCCCATAAGCATATTTGAAATAACATTTCAAATTACAAAAGAAACAGTGCACATCTTAAATATGACTGAATTTATGGAGAATTTCGGAAGATCTCCTGGCTTCTGCAGGAAAACTGATGTTGGATTATTAAACAGAGCTATGCTCCATCCTATTACTAATATACAGGGAGACAATGCAATGTGTAGTATCTTCTGTGCTTCACAGCATGTTGATAGGCCTCAACAAGAGAAAAGCAGCATAAGGTGTTCAAAACTTAACGCTCAACACGAAACAGCCTGTATAAGTAGTCCATATTGCTATCAGAACTGTATAAGGGATGGAATGAGAGATAAGAAGATGAAGGGGAGTCACCTTAAATACAGAGGGAAGGGCCTTGTGTACTTAGGGCTCAGGAATTCTCTTGGAGCAGAGAAGAGAGCAGACCGGCCTTCCCAGCAAGGATCCTGTCCTTTACAATTTGGGAACATTTTAAGAGGTTTTGTGGGCTCCTTGGGTGAACACAGGTCAGTAAGGCCTGCTTGTGGTCTGGCTCACTGGAGCTGGAAGAGGCCTTTTAGCATCACTTAAAGTAACTTAGTGTCACCTCCAATTGTTCTGTGCTCAAAGCTGACACATAAGCAACCCGACCCTAAAATCAGTCTCTCAACTGTCCTAGGAATTTGCTCTCTCATATCCATTCAGTCTGTGCCTGAGGGTTTCCAATGGGAACTGGCTTCTTTAGCAGTCCTGCTGTCTGAGTGTTAATCTGTCACTCCACCCTTCTGCACAAAATAGCGAGGGTTTTAAAAAGTTTTTGGACAATTTCATCTACATTGATAGAGGTATAGAAATATCAAATTGAATTAAGTTCCCACAGATCTTCCTACAGAAGAGAAAGATCCAAATTACAACCCCTAAGGGAAAACAAACAAAATCATGCTAAAACGTGTGGTTAATCCACATGTGCAGAAATCCACGCCAGTCACAGCAAACACTGCATGTTTTGAAGATAAGAGACGTGAGACAGATTTGGGATTGTTTCAGAAGAGAGTGCAGGAGACAGAACACGGGAGGCAAAGGATGGAAGTAATGGAAAATACGCTTTCTTAATCCTCCTGTCAGGAAATATCCTGTGGGGTGTTTTTCTCTCCACTATGATATTGGCTTTATTTTCTTAACAACGTGTTTCATTTCTTAAACATAGCTATAAGATAATTAGATGTACCAATTCTTAATGAGATTGCCATAATTAAAACTGCAGGAATTGCAAAAGTCCCACATGAAATATGCTACAAAATTTAAGCTTGTAAAAACTCTACATTATGAGTTTATCTATATTTAATTAGGCAAACTAACTATATCACTTCTCAGATATAACAAGCAGATTTGCAACGAGGGACTTAAAGTAATATAAAACTGTAAAAATACTTATCAGTATAAATACTGATTTTGCCAGTATTTCACTTACCCCATGTCTGTATCCTAAACATATTTACACTAGCTCTCAAACAGCTGTGAAACAAGTGTTGATTTCACTACTGCTTAAGCAAAACAGCATTTGTTTAGTATAGTTAATAAAGCACACTACGGTTTACCTACCAAAGCGCTACCTAAAAGAAATGCATACAAAACAAGTATTATGATGCTGCTCTGATATCAACACAGAGCTGCTAAGAATAGAGAAACAAAGGCAACAAAAGACCCATTACTGAAAAGCAGACAGGGAAAGCCAAAGAACATTTTAGCAACTTAGCATCCGCACAATAGTTAGCATAAGCACACCAATAAAATATTAAATTAAATTTTGCATGTATATGGAAGCAGCAAGCATTTCTGGCATGCTGAAAATTTACCTGAATTATATGAATATAAGCCTTTATCTGGAAAACAAATATTGAAATGAAGTAGTGTCAAGGGAAAACATATGAATCAATACATGTAACAGGGATGGTTTGCACCTTAAACTTCGTATTAATCAATTCTGGAAACTGAAGTATATGATACAGTAGGCCACATTCATCCAAAAGAAAAAAACCTTAACCAGCTTGAAGAAATTAAAACCACAAAAATGCAAAATTACTGTAAGAAATTTCCAGTTCTGAAAAACAACTGCCCATTTATTGTGTATAAATGTTTAATGTTTTAAGAGCAACTGATTTATCATCAGTTAGATACATTATATGAATTYCTACCCTTAGCATCACTGTACATGGTTGTTAATAGCTCAGCAGGACGAGGTTATAGAAATTTCCTGCAGGATGTTAGCAGAACTTTGCTCTGCTCTGCATGTAGCTACGAATCCTACTTTAAATTTAGTGGACTCACAAGTGAAGCTTTGGTCAACTTTCTGTCTCCATCTACTCAGTGGACTTGATTTGGTAAATACATACCTACAGGATGCAGGTACCTTATGCGTATGTCTGTCCCCAGTAAATTTAAGACTCCCTATGCSAGCACTGCAATTAAATACTTAAGAGATTTGGGTTACTGTTTGCATTACTAATGTATAGTTGTTCTAAGCTTTTTAACTTTCTATATATCCACGCCATTTTTTTCTAAAATTCAACATTTTTTGACAAAATGGAATTTACATACACTAATATACAAAAATCTGGAGAGTCTAGAATACTACAAAGTCATCAGAAGTTCAACAGAGCCATCAAAAAGACCTGAAGAACACATCTGGATTTCATTTATATAATTAAAAGGGCTGGACATATATAATTAAAAGCTGGGGACTAGAGAAGTCATTTTTTTTGCTGGATGGTTGCAACACATAAATTATTATTAAATTTATTTGAAAATTTCACCACAATCATTACACTTACAATTGAATAATACAGTTTATTATGTTTCAAAAATTAAAACAAAAATACTACTTTTAGTGAGAACAAGTCAGGTCTGTATCTTTTAGAATCAATTTAATGGTCTCCTAACCCATCTACCCCATGCATAGAAAGATTATTTTACACTATTCATTGAGTTATTCTGACAAAGAACATTGCTTTTCTGCCATAATTACCTGGCACACAGATAATTTAATAAACTCATTATATCTGCTATTTAATAAAATCATTATATCATTATATAAGTGCTTCAAAACATTGATAGGATTTGAAATATTTTGTAGTTTAATTGTAATTTAATAATTCTTATTTTTAATCCTTCAAAGAGCATAGACCTAACTTCTGAAATAATTTTCTTTCAAATTTTGATAGTTTAAGGCCTTTGCAGACACCCCTGTATCATGTTAAATACCTTTTTAATAAAGTATTTAATAAAACACAGATGTACAATAAATATAATAAATCATAGATGTGTAATAAATACTGATAATTATTTCAAATTCTGTGAACAAAACATTAATGCAAACGAAGATAGCATGCTCAAGGCCTGTGTTCCATAAAAGAAAGAGAAAAATTAATGAATAAGCATGAAAGGGAAAAATATCTGTTATTCTCCAGGGCTAATTTCTTTTTTGTTCACCACACACAGATCTGTGCCGCTGACCATAAAATGCTCCATATTATAATGTGAATAAAAGGTTATTGCTATGCATTTCCATTAAGTACTGCCCACCTACTAGCCAACAAAATTATTATAATTCTCTCAAGTAAGATTCAATAGCATTGATTTAAAAATACTCTACTGACTTACCATATTCACAGCAAATTAAAAGGAAGTTGTTGAGACAGCAAGATACTGAGTCTGCAGTAAGATGGGACTCTGCAGAGTTCCAGAGAAGTCAATGGCTTTCAGTGGAAGACTGAGGTTTGAGATGAAGGGCCTCCAATTTCATTGGGTATAATTTCAGAACATTGAAACCAATTATTATGAAACGTTAATAACTAGCAGTCATGAAACCTCCATAACTTTCCACAAAACAGATTTGAACATTTTAATATTAAAATAAGGGAGGAGAAGACCKGAATTAACAACTGTAAGATGAGACTCATTTTTAGTCTAATGGTGACCGAGTAGTGTACAACCACAGGCAAAAAAAAAAATTTAAAAAGTGGGTCCCAGCAATGATAAATCCATCTAAAAGTTAATCTCAGTAGACTGAAYGAAGGAAAACAATTTCTAACTTGCTGATTCAAGGATACCAGGTTACAGTCCAAAAATAGACCTGGAAAACATAGTCAGACTTCTGGTAAATTGTATAAAGTTTAGCCAGGAACTTACTTTCAGAACTTATTCTGTCAAAAGAAGGTTTGCTTATGAATTATAAATTCTTTCATCTCATCTAGGTTAATAGAGAAGATTTTGAAAAGGAATGCCATATACATAGCTTTTGCATGCTACATGTAGGTGTCTTTCGTAGATCTTTTTTCTCCCACCAGATTTTCATACATATTGTATTAAAGTATCATGTAGATAAATGAATGGAGTCTTCAGTAGCRTTAATGGAAAAACAAAGAAATTTAAATATTCCACAAAAGAAAACTACTTCCTGGTTTCCTTATTTCCAGCTATTTTGAACMTGACTGATTTTCTGGTGTCTTGGCAGAATGCAGTTTAATTCCCTATTTTGGAATTCTAAATGTTGACCTCCAAACACTGTCATTTCTAATATCTCTTTGTTTTGGCTGTGTTTTCAAGACAGCCATTGTCACATAGGTTCACTCTTTTCCCCTTATGAAAAAATATATTGCAAAAAAATAATAATACTGTACTGTTTCTCGTGGCATTTCAAGCTTCCACTCTCTTTCCATTGCTAATAGACACACACATGCTGTATCTGGAGACCTGAAAACGTCTGCATTACTGAATCTGTATGTTCCTCCCGTTCTTCTTTTGACATTTAGCTATTAGCCACACTGTCCACCCACTCTCTGCAGTCAGCAGATCAATACATCAACCAGATTAGTTTTAAAGCTGCAAAATGTAACTTTGAAAAGAAGGATCGGTTACTTTTTAATCCTAACAACTCATCTGTAAACTCTTAAAATACTTTCTGTAGAATAAAATAATGGAAGCTGCTCCTAMAACAAATTCAATAACTATAGAATTTTAAAAATCCACGTGCTTCCAAACCCGTAATAACCCAAAGTTCTTTATCAAGTGAACAGTGTCGGTTCACACTGCACAGACAAAGACATTATAGGGACGTAAGTGTAACAGACTGAACAAGCAAGCCTGGGTCTCGGCGTGGTGGCTGCTATCTCTGTGCTCTGGGACACGTGCAGAGGAAGCAACTATGGATTTGTAGTCCCAGGGTRAAAACCCTCCTTCGTTTCTGCATCGGTTATCGCTCAAGAGTAATGCTAATGATAACTTCTCTCCCATTGATCTTAGCACTTATGAATGCGGCATCCAAACTGCATTTACTTTTCCGTGGAATCTGGGATTAGCCTCTTATCTAGTGTGAGGAGCATTAGTAATGTGATCGCTGAACTGACTACAGCAACTCCCACATTTTTTTCAAGGTAACTTCCAATTTTCTGCTTACAACCTCATGTTGGAGGCAATATAAAAGAGAACTTTAATTCGCCCCTAATTTCAATTAATTCTGTCTGGATTTTTTTTAGGTATGGCAGAGTTAGGGACTCTCTTTGAACTCTGGTTCCTAAAAAATGGCATATGGGAGCTCCCTAGGAAGGCTGCTCAATGCTAGTGGCTATCCGAAAATAGTGGAGTTCAGTCTTCAGGGCTGACAAGCTGCTCATATTCAAGCATGCTAAAATTCATTGACACTGGAAGTGGAACACAAGCACTTCATGGTAAAACCACATAAAGCCAGAGAATTATCAAGAACAGCAGGTGGGTAAGCACAGGTGGTTCTTTTAAAACGACCTTCAGAGAATAGTATTCAAGGTTTATTTGTGGGTTTTTTTTTCCACATATATGTATATATAGTAACCTACCTGTCAGTCATGAAGATAAGAAAATTTAGGTGTCCATACAAAACAACAAACAAACCTATAATTCAAAATGTCTCTTTTTTTATACAGCTACAAGTTTGATATTATTTTTTAGGTAATAAATCAGATATAATTTTGTATAAAAAACTCAATTGATACATAAAAGCATTCTTACACAGAAGGAAATTAGATTTAACTTATCAAAAATGTGTTCCAAAATGMAGAAAATAAAGAAGAAAATAGTTAAAATAAGGATTAACTTAAAAAACAACTCATGGTCCTGCAAAAAATGGAGAGGACTGAATTGAAAAATTGACTGAGATTCTTAACTGCTAGCGAGCATTTCTTTCCTTCTTCTTTATATAATATCATGGCTTCAAGGCTACACATTTCAACTCTCACTTAACGTATCTATCTCAGAATATTATGATATGGAGCATTTTAATCCTTTTCACCTTCCAAGGCACAGAGAGAAAATCTACCAACTATTTTAAAACACTTACATAAAAGAGATAAACTAATAAGAACACAGGTTCCATCCATACAGAACAAATGAAATACTCAAGCTTGACTGTGTTTCTGTGAGTTTGTGTGTATTTCTATAGGCATACACACAAAATAACAAAAGAAAATGCAAATAATTCTTACAAATACTTTTCCTCTTTATTAAAAAATAATTTTCTGGGGGAATAATAAAAAAACAGAGCATCAAATCAAGCATATTTTATAAAATTAATTCAGTGAACAACAGAACGACAGAAGATAGTTTGGACCACTGGCACTAGTGAGCAGTTTATCTAGAGAAACGACAGCAGTTTATCTAGAGAAGTGAGCAGTCTATCTAGGGAAATAATAGCAAAGAGCAAACTGCATTCTCACTGTATACTAACATAACTCTTCAGTATATGTATACTAACACATACTCTAATACACATTGTATACTAACATAACTCTTTTCCTTTACACACTGTATATTTTGTTTTCAATATATCTACAGATAACAGTAAACATGTCCAGTAAACGTGTAAAGATCATGTATACAAAATGCATGAAATAGAGTTAGAAGATAAATTTGTGAATTTAACCACATAAAGTAGCATGAAAGCAAACCAACAGGCCATGATATTTAGCTTTTCTGTAAGCATATATGTGCTTACAGAAATCATCGTTTTTCATTTAGAAGAAGACTGGGTTAGAGAGAAAGTTATTGCACTTCCACTTTTTTTTTTTTTTTTGGTTAAATAATGAAATGATAAACCTAATACAGGAGACTCGACTTCAGAAGATAATAACAGCACACTGCTGTGTAAGGCCAAGGTTATTCAGTCAAGATGAGGACCTGAACTAGGCAGACTAAGAAAAATGGTAGATCATACAGTATTTAGTATTACTACACGTAACAGCTCAATCTTACCAGTATTCATAAATAACCCAATTTATAAGAGCTATAAATGGACACACAAATTCTGTCAGTTTCCTATGTACAAGAATTTAATATACTGCACATAATTCAAATGAACTACACACATGTAAAGTCAGCAACTTACTTTGTAACCTCCGTGTGGGGCTCTCGCCATGGAGCTGTCTGCGTGGCAAATACGGTGAAGGGTGGGGAAGTGGCAATGAAGAGACATCATGTGTTTGAAGTTTGTACCAGTGAGGTTCATCATCTAGTAATGCTGTCTCTAACTCAATTAGAATCTCCAAAAGAAAAGATGATTAAAGGTCAGACGGGACTAAAAAGGAGCACATTTCAGGCAGCATATCCATAAAATTCATTCAACTTATTCTTTTACTGATAAGGAATATGTGTGAAATTTTATATTTTTTTTATAGCAGTCTTAAATTTAAGAAAGGATTCTTATGCCTTTGATGATGCCAAATAAATAAATAAAAATTGCCACAAAATCCTTATTACCTTACCAACAACCTTAACAGCATTCAAACGTTGTCTAGAAAATTAGCCTGCAACATTTTCCAACATCTACACCGTGGATAAGAGAAATACAAAAATTAAAAGCAGTTTTGCTTTGTTTTACTACATTTTTCAAAAAGATTGTATCTAGAAATGAATATGTGCTCAATTATACAAAATAACAACCAATGATAATCGTATACCTCTCCTAAAAATTCACTTTCTTCCTCTCGTACTCGTGCTTGGTCCCAAAGAGTAATTTCTAACATTCGTTCTCTAAATTCTCTCCGGTGAACTGGAGAATAAATGAATGTTTGGTTCCACTTAGGTTCCAATGTTTTCTTTACTGTTTTTGTTCTTCTTTTATTTTTATCACTGAAAAAAAAAAAAAAAATTAGAAGTGTCCAAAAGACATATATAGTAATAAGCCTCTCACAGGGTGCAGCAAAACCTAAATCAGCTGTACACTGTGYAACACTTCAAAAAATACTATTGCAATATGTCTCAGAATTAGCTGTTTATGATAAAATATGTTCAGTACATATATTGAGAGCAATTCATAACCTCATATTAAAAACATAGCCAATTCCCAGTTCAAATGCCAACTCCAAGTTTAAGAAGTTTCCTGAAAACCAGGAATGTTTAAATAAGTTCATTTCAGAAACAGAAAGCAGAGCTTTCATGAAAAAAAATACACTTGTGTAGATGCAGCTTCCATGGACCACTGCATGGAAGTAAAACTGCCGTATGGATAATCCTGGCCACAGGAAAAATTGGCATTTCAGGCAAGGCAGCCAGCCTATTCACTTCCACTTGCCAGGCCTGTGGTCTGCTAAGCCAAGGAGAGGAGGTCTGGGTGGCCAGCCCGGCACAAGGGCAGTCAGGTTCATGGTCGTTCTTCACTGACAGATRGGCCTGATGTTTTGGAGCCTCACGAGATCTCCATGCAAGGCTCCACCATGGGAATCCTGCCTCTGGCTCAAGGGTGTTATTGATAGCAAGAGGCTTTGCAGAACATTTTTGTTTGAAATAACTGGCTTGCTGATGGAATCAAGTTTCACTGGAAGATACCCACATTCCTTCGAAAAGGAATACTGAAAATGGTGCTCATAACAATCCTTAATTTTTAAATTTCCTGACAAATGCATAATGCAATAGTGGTATTAATTCATGGAGATTTTCTAGTACGGTCATGAAGACACTGTACATGAAGACATCTGCATCAATGCAGTAACTATGAAATAACATTTTTAGACACGTTAAAACAAATGAAGTAATTATTTCTATCACAATAAAGATTTATTTGCCCTTGAGATTTGAAACAAGTTGCATGGGAAAAGCTTTTTCACTGAAATATGTTTAACCAAACATATTTTGGAAGCYTCCTACCTTCATCTAATTAAGCACTTGATTTCTTTAAATGTATTTGACCTCTAATAGGTTTCTTTCTCTTACACAAGAATATATTTTTGCTTACCTAGCCTTTTCTTCTCAGGAAAGGAAAGGCAATTAGTCTGTCAGGAAAAAAACTAATTCAAAAAGACAGCTTGCTAATTCTTTTTTTTTTTATGAGATAAGAAACAGAAGGAGTAATCGAAGAAAAGATTCTGAACTCTTCAAGTAACAGAAGAGAACAACATGAGGTATATCTTGTGAACATTAGCACAGAACAATCAAACATAATAATATATAAATTTTGGCATTTTTACAGATTAAATTATTTAATGAAATATCTGCTTCTTTTATACAGAATTCTTTCAACTTGCATTGTGAGCCGCTATGAATACAGTCATTTCTAGTAGCTTTATTAATCTTCAATAAAAAAGTTGCTATTGAGGCAACTTTTGCAGACTTGMTTCTCAGTTCAGCTTAGCTTTAGTGTCTCCAAACACAGCACAGCAATTAGAGCAAACTAAGAATCTGGTCCAACAGTTGAAGTATTTTTGAGGCAAAGACAATCCAGCCAAGAACTTTCTCTCAAATGATAAGCAATTTGTGCAGTCACTGCAAGTTTTTTTGTTAACATATGGCATACAATGGAAGTGGAAAAGCAGTGTCTTCCAAAGAACTGAGTGGCTTTCATTTTGGAGGAAATCAATTGGAACTAAGATAGCTGGCATCTTCTCAGTTTGGATATTATGAAAAGCAAAGGATATAAAAATATAGGCAGTATAGACTCAATTCTAGCAATATAGCAAAATACTGGCCAATATTTAAAATAYTGAGTTAGGTTTAATCTTTAAATTATTTGATAGAGAGAATACAAAATAAAGTTAAATACATTCCCCTGCTGMCTTGTGCTAAATACCCAATAAATATCCAAAAAGAAGTTCACCTGGATGACACGCTCCTTGCTGTTTTTCCTGCCATCCAAGTGGAAATTAAAGAAAATCAGGAATTAAGAAACAAAGAAGTGATTCAGGAATAAGGGCCCTTATCACTGTATATTTTTCCTTAAATGGATATGTTTCACAAGTACAGATGAATGTGTCTTGGGGAAAGCCAGTATGTCCACCTTTCCCTTTCCATTCAGCATTTAATAAAATATCCAGCTGGTGAATTTGTGTTCAGTGTTCAAAGAAAAACTGCTGTTATACAGCATATATATACAACAAGAGACTCCAACCTGTAAGATTATTCTCTGAGAGCACGACCAGTAAATTTAGCTCCACATTTGGAATATCACATTAATTCTTACTCAAAAGCACCCTGTCTTTTTGTTCWCCCTACCTTCTGTCTGGAAGAAAGTAAATTTTAACATAAGGATTTCTTGGCCTCCCGTCTTCCCTTGAAGGAAGATCCTTTGCTCCCAATATTGTGACTATTAACTGATGACCAACCTTGTCATACCACAGTTTTATCTGCAATGAAAAAAAATTGTTAGTGAATTAATTTCTTCAATGAAGTAACACATTAATCCTTAAAATTAATTTTATTCATTAGCTTCTATTAGTTACTTTAAAACAAAAATAATATGTTTTAATTTGTACTTATAATAAAGCAGAAAAAAATAAGTTAATACTTTAATAATTTCAGTATGTACCGGGAGTCATTCATTTTTAGAACCTTATACAGCATGTACATTATTTCATACTAACTATCTTTCATGTAATACTCTGTTTAGGATTATTCTCTCTTGGCAGTAGTACTACATTACTTAGATTCCTGACACATGGTATTCATAATTAATGAATGAATGTTTCATCTCCTGTTGTGCTGGGAAGACCATGGTTGAAGACCATGAGTACCTGAAGTCTCCCAAATGTTTTTCAAGGAGATGTGGAGACTTATTCTAAAATCAAATAAGCTTTCCAGAACTCGTAAAAGAGAAAGGYTCAGTAGATCAACTGTTTCCCAGTCCTACTCAGCAACAACAGGACAAAAACTGCTATTACTCATCTCTTAGAGTTGGTCTAGCAATGGACAAGCATTTTTAGTACAGTCATTAAAAATTGCTATTTAATTATTCCATTTTAAAAATTATAACTACAAATATATTATTGAAGGGAAGGATCTAGCTACTTTAGAGCACTTACTGTGGCATGGGAGAGGGTGCAGGCCCTCATATAAGCCCTCAAGGCTTTATGTCCTCACAAAGCCTTGCAAATAATCAGGGAGTCACTACATGGAAGTACCAACACAGTATCATTAACTACAGCTAAAAAGCAGACTGTCTTCATGGGGGATTACTTGAAGCAGAGGACAAATCAGAATATTGAAAGGAAACACTATCTTTCCCTAAGCTTACAGGAGTCGGAGGATAGTGTCCAATCCAACATAACAAGCAGCACACCTTTAGATCCTAAAGTACCTAAACTTAGGGGCAGGTTCACCTTTTGYGGAGCACATCCCACATCATTTCAGGTACAGGGTCTCCAACTCCTATCATAGCTCCTCATGATCTGCATTTCAGCTACCTAAATAAAGGTCTTGATGCAGTTCTTCAGTGTCTTGGACCCACACCACAAAGCTGGTTTACTTTTATGACACTTCTAAAACTTCAGCACTTGGAGTGCCACTCAGTCTCACCAATCCATTCAGTGGTGGCAGCCTACTTCTTCCTACTCCATTACCAGCTCTTACATGGGCATTAAAGAAAAGGGGACTCCTGTCTTCTTGGGCCTACTTYTGACTTTACAGGCTTCTCACACCAACAGCTAAAGCACTCTGTGACTACTAAGGCAGAAAACATGTTTGGAAGAAATTATCCTTAATATGTTTCATTCAGCAGAACTCTAGAGACTATTCTTCAATTCCTACAAAGAAAAGGGCTCTGTCACTATTGATTGAAACTGAGAATCATCCAGATTAGCACAAATCTGCATCCAGCTACAGATTACAAGTAGGAAGATTTACACACCCAAAGAAGATTTACAGACCCAAAAGGAAATTGTGATAACATCTGAAGCGCAAGCCATCTTAAATGTTCTCTGTTATTAAATACAAGAAGGGCACTTACATTTTATCATCTACTTACAGGTTTCTTTGGGCATCCTTGAAGCAAAGGACATACTTGTCTATTCATAAGAACTTGCTATTCCTATAATCCTAAGGGAAATAGCACTAATGACATTCTTCATTATCTTTGTTTCTTAGGAAAAAGCAGATCTCGCTTGCTCTCCTGCGTTGAGAATGCTAATTCTCCAATACACAGCCCAGACATTCTAACCCAAGAAGTGATCTGACTTGGWTGCAAAGAGAAAGGAAGAAACCTTAGGAGTGACAGAAAGAATGTAAAACCTGACAGAGGGRAGGATGGGGCTGCATTCTCACAGGGTTAAGAGAAGGAAGAGCACACAATGCATGGAAGCTCCTTAAGAATGACTGAGAAAGAAAAGTGTACTGGATGATTCTTGATGAACCACAGGAAGAACAGAGACATGGATGTCACTGATGACATTATAAGAACAGGGGGCATAAAAWGACTGGATGAGAGAGATACAATAAGGCAAATAAAGAATCCAGACAGTCCATAAGTGGCACAAAATATATTGAACGAAGAGAGTGAGGTGAAAGAAAATGTGACAAGAAGTCCGGACTGAAAACTGGAAAAAATGAGAAACAGGAATCGGAGTAGCGTACTGAACACAGAAAATGGCACTGGGAAYAGGACTGACCTAATTCTGACTATCTTCTGCATATGCAATATGTGCATATTATGACACACCACCTGGATAGTATTGTATTCTCCTACAAGGACCTTGTCTTTTCTATTCACAAAAAGGACAGACATTTAAGATGGATAGTTGCTCTCCAAGAGATTCAACTCCCTCTTTCCTAGAGGTCTTGTGTGTTGGGGGATGGATCATTAAAAGCATTTTAGAAGAGATTTATAAATTGTATGCTCTTCATTGTCCCAACTGTCATTGTGAGTCTGGCCTGATCTCCTGGAGCCTGATTTGAGGCAATGCTGAGTTCACAATGTTTTAATTGAAGCTGGAGGTGCATTAGGCTTGCGTAGAGCTAAAGTTACTGAAAAATCAGAACCTTGTGGCTTCAGATTTTAATTGTAATCTTTCAGTCATCACATTTTAGTTTGTAATCAATAAATGCAGAAGAATGCTAGTATATCTCATAGTCCTCATAGAATGTGCTATTTATTTTGTATTGTGAAATCAACACAGGGGTAGCCTAGGTAAAACGGAAAAGCCCATGAAAATTTAATTTCTCCTGTACAGCTGCACTGAATAGTATGCAGCAAAGATTATTACTACCACACAATGAAGAACAYTGAATTGTTCAATCTAGAGAGCAAAGCCCCACATGTGTGCACAGGTGTCGTGATGCTCAGTCCTGAAACAGTTCAGCAGCTTACGGAGCAGGACTAYGGACTCCCATGCAGCAATTTTCTGCACATAAAAGAAACACGCTTTTAAAAGAAAGTGATTCAAATAAAAATATAGGGGAGGACTATGAGGATGTCATCCCTGTCTAAATGGAGGGGAGGCCAAAACTGCAATGCATGAAATAGACAACAAGAATGCTGTGCTGCATGATGCTAACGTGGAAGCTAATGTCCATATAAAAACAACTTGGGTAGGACCTCATCTACCTAAATCCTACCTAATTTAGAATTTAGGTACATAAAATTCAGCTAATCAAAGGACAATCCAATCTATATAGTTTATAAAACACTTTCTACACTTTCCACACCTTTAACGTGGAAGGCATGGAAACTTAATTCTGCGTGTCACACACATGCTCATATAGTTGCCTCTTCTAGGCAGATGTACACCTACTTCAGGGTAGGCTTGYATTGTAATCTGCAGTCAGGCAAACATCTGAACTCAACAAACCCTTAAATTGTGAGATGGTCTGTCACCTGAAGAGTGGTGCATCTGCCACACTCCTTGAGATGGGCTTCCAGATAAAAATACCTGTCAAACAGAGCTTAAGCAATAGGCTTAAGCAATCTGCAGTCTAGTGATGAAGTCAGGGAGGGAGCAGAGCTGAGGGTGTGATGTTGTCTTCACAGGACTTTTTCTGCTTTTTAAGCTGTATTGGTGCAAGATCAATACACATTCTGGGTAGTAAGTCTGGAACATGCTAAGCTAAAATTAAGCTTTCTCTGCCTGCTGAGAACAACACATATATTCCTGTCTATGTAGTAGTTCAACTTCAGGGAAGACTTCAAGCTCCCAAGACAATAAAGATGCACAAGGGCTTGATAATAAAGGCACTTTTCTAAAAAACACATTCAATCCTTTCAATCTAGGCAGGAATCAAAACAGATATATCTTTTTTCTGGAATGACTGTTCTACACATAAGGGAGGACCAAAAGGTGGCTGCTCATGCTGCATGTACCAATTATTCCCTTTTGGTCACCTATATCCTCAGAAGAAGAGGCAGATGCCTTCCTCAATGGAACATTTACTATACATTTACTATATTTTACCCTTTTAACTTGTGTATCTTGCCTAACTAGATGCTCTTTATTAAGAATACTTTATTTATTAAGAAGTCAGAATCCTGGAAAAGAGAGATCAGGAAATTAGGATCAATAACCAAGTATATCYGCATAAGGGAAGTAAGTTAAGAAAACAGAAATAATATAATAATATAATASTAGCACTTCCTATCTCATGAACACTTGACTGATCAGTCTTAACTATGCATTTCCAATACAGAGTTGTTGTGTATAACACATAYAGTTACTCTATATCCCAAATGGTAACTTTAGATTTCAAAACAGAGAATGTCTGTAGTTACTAATTCTGTGCTGCACATTTCATGAATCTCATAGGATCAAGACACCTCCATGTGTTACTGCAAGACACAGCCTGCTCTCATGCTTGATCTCTACTACTGTAGTGAAAATGGCTCATGTCAAAACATCACTAGCTTTGAGAGACAGTTGGCCCTGCATTTTTGCTGTCATTTTCATCGACATTATATTTATTCTAACTGGTAAAGCTATTCGTGACAAYAATATTTTGTAACTGAGAATCTCCTTTTCTCTCTTCTCTTCATTACTTGGCAATAAGCAAAATTTTAGTAAAATAGGTTGTTGAAAAAATGTTCCAATTTATTTTTCAAAATGCTTAAAGCAATCATTTAATTTGCKTAGGCTTATAAGGTTGCAGATGTTGCCCTTAGGTGGCAGAGTCCATGATGCAGTTGAGATGAGCTCTGGTTGTTCTCAAATTCACATCTAAAATATGTTAACTACTGAGCGTTGCTAAATCAACATCTGATATGTGAAAAGAAATATCAGAAAAAAAGCTGTTGAATACAGAAGCATCAAAAAATTACAGAGGTATTTTGGGTGTCCACACTCACATAACTAAAAATTGTTTTCTAGTGGCTTCATTTTGATTCTAGCAATGCCAGAAAGATGCATGCATATACTTTTATAGTTGA